GTCCTCCCACCTCGACCTCCCAGAGTGCTAGGATTACAGGCGTGAGCCACCAAGCCCAGCCCTCCAGAATTTCTTCATCTTGCAAATCTGAAACTCTATACCCATTAAGCAACAACTCTCTTTTTTCCTCCTCGCTGCGTCCTCTGGCAACCACCATTCTATAATACTTTCTGTCTCTATGACTTTGACTACTACTTTAGATACCTCATAGAAGTGGAATCTTATAGTGTTCGTCTTTTTGTGACAGGCTTATTTCACTGAGCATAATGTCCTTGAGGTTCATCCATGTTGTAGCATGTGACAGGATCTCCTCCTTTTTTAAGGCTGAATTATATGCCATTGTATGTATAGACCACATTTTGTTCAAAGCTATGAAGACTTAACCTTCTGTTTTCTACATTTGGGTTTTTGATCCACGTTAATTTTTTTGTATATGATGTGAGGTCGGGGCCCAACTTCATTCTTTTACATGTGTCTATCCAGTTGTCTCAGGATAATTTGTTGAAAAGACTATTTCTTCTCCTTATCAAAAATCAATTGACGGCCGGGCACAGTGGCTCATGCCTGTAATCCTAGCACTCTGGGAGGCTGAGGCGGGAGGATCGCTTGAGCTCAGGAGTTTGAGACCAGCCTGAGCAAGAGTGAGAGCCTGTCTCCCCTAAAAATAAAAAAAATTAGCTGAGTATGGTGGCACATGCCTGTAATCCCAGCTATTTGGGAGGCAGAGGCAGGAGGATCGCTTGAGCCCAGCAGTTTGAGGTTGCTGTGAGCTAGGCTGACGCCATAGCACTCTAGCCCGGGCGACAGAGTGAGACTCTGCCTCAAAAAAAAATAATCAGTTGACTGTAGATGTATTGATTTATTTCTGGACTCAATTCTATTCCATTGATGTATATACGTCTATTCTTATGCCAGTACTACACATCTTGATTACTGTTGCATTGTAGTAACTTTTAAAGGGGGAACATGGGAGCCTTCCAACTTTGTTCTTTTTCAAAGCTGTTCTGGCTATTCTGGGTCTCTTGCAATTCCATATGAATTTTAGGATCAGCTTGTCAGTTTCTACAAAGAAGCCAGCTGGGATTCTGACAGTTATTAGGTCGAATCTGTAGATCATTTTTGGGAATATTGCAATGGGTCTCCTGATCCACAAACATGGGATGTTTTCCCATGTATTTCGATCTTCTTTTTTTCCATAATGTTTTATAGTTTTCAGGGTATAACATTTGTGTTTTTTTTTGTTAAATTCACTCCTAAGTATTTTATTGTTTTTGATGGTATGGCACATGGAATTTTGTTCTTAATTTCAGTTGTTACTTGTGCATTTTTAATGCTAAGGTTTCATCAGTGCTTTATTCCCCAAACACTAACAGAGTACCCCATGTACTTCTGGTGCTAGTCCAGGCTCTGGTGATTTGGGGATGAAATGAGGACGCTGGAATATATCAGTTCCTTGAGTCAGGGACTACTCTCTGATTTCCTACAGTGAGCTGAGAAGTTTGACCTCATGCCATTGGCTTTGTTTCAGGGTTTCTTGGAGGGGACCAGCCTCTTTTATGGACATTACACCATTGACGGGGTGAAATTTCAGAACTTCACCTATGATCTTCCCCTGGCTTATTTGTTAAGCACAATTGCCTACCTGGCCCTGAGCCTTCTTTGGATAGTGAAAAGGTAAAGTTTTATCTTGTCAATTGCGTTTTCTCTGAATTGCCTTTGAGGGCTGGAGTCTGTGAGCTCTGATCTCTGGGAGCCTTTGCCTGGAGGACGAGTGGAGTCCAAGGGTGGGCCCTGTGGGGAAAGGTTTCTGAGTATGTTGGCAGCTGAGGAGACTTGGAGGAAATGGAAGTCAGGATTTGGGAGCCAGAGTGGCAGCCTGGAGTTCTTCACACAGTCATTATTGAACACATCTGGCAATCCCACCAGCACCTGCACACACCCTATCTTTGCTTTGGTGTGTATGTTAACTAGGTCTCTATTGGGTTGTAAGTGTATTGGGTTGTAAGTTGTGATCCAACTCAGGCTAACTGGGGCAAGGGGGATATTGAGTAGCTCAGAGAAACAAGGAAGGGAGGAAACTCAAATTACGCTAAGAACAGGGATGGAGCTATGGCTTAGGAACAATGTCAAAAGCAAAGGCTCCCTTGTCTTTGATTCTTTTATGTAGTGACAGCTTCCTTAAGTGGTGGGAAATAGGGCATCCTGTAGTTTCCATCTGCCCATGAATCCCTGGGTCACAGGTGCAGAAATCCTTTGAAGAAACGTGTTGGCTTTGCTTCATTCAGGTACCCAGCCCTGACCCTTCAACTACGGCCAGGGAGTTAGGGTCATAGGACAACATGGCTTTTCCCATGGTAGATAAGTGGTTTAATGAGAGATAGCAAATCCCAAGAAAATAGAAATTCAATTCCTTTAACAGACAGTTATCCCAAAAGGTACAATGACCCAAACACAATAGACATTATCTTTCTTTTTTATATGACAGGTTTGGGTAGGGGCACAGGTTAGTGGGGTAGAGTCCTTCTCACAGAATTTCAGGACTCAAGTTGACCGAAGTTCAGCCATTTTCAGCATGTGGTCTTGCAGGTCCTGCTGAGGGTTGGGAGGGGAAGATGGCGTGGAGGAGTATCACGTGGAAGGTATTTATAGGCCAGACCTGGAAGTGATGCACATCACTCACATCCCATTGGCTACAGCTCAGTCACATGACCATAGCTAACTGCAAGGGAGGCTGGGAAATGTTGTCCCTGGCTGGGCAGCTACTTTCCAGTAGTGACACTGTCCTATGGGAGGTGAACCACAGATTTCTGATGGGCAGCGTGCCATCTCTGCCCCAGGGGGGTTGCTTGGCAGACAGTGTCATGGGTGGCCTCCTTTCCTGCCCACTTCATTGTCCCTGGGAGAGCATGCACAGTGCTATAAGCTAGGGGCCTGTGACATCCTTATCACAGGTGCAGAAGAGACCAGGTGTTGGGGACTGGCTTTGCCCTCCTTGAGGACCAGTATCCTGAGTCAGAATCATGAGATGAAAACTAACCGATGTGCATCCATCCCCCACCCAAAAGGGCAGTGTACTGGCGAGAATGAGCAGGGGCTTGTTTTGAGGGGCAGAGAGGTGCTCAGAAAAGAAACGTTGGTTGATTGGGGTTCTGGCTTTGCTGCTCTGTGACCCTGGCAGGGGCAGATCCAAGTTTTATGGACCTGCAGTTTAGACAGTTTGGAGGGGCCATCTTTAAGGCAAAGAATATGAAAATTTCTTTTGTAAATTATAGAACAAAAAAACAAACAAACAAGACCTTATGAACACATTGCTAGAGGCTCCCAGGGCCTTGGAAGGGGCCCTGAAGAATGAATAAGGTTTATTAGCTGAACAGTGAATCCGCCTTGATCTTGCTCAGGCTTACCAACCTCAGGGCCTTGATTGCTTCCTGAGAAAGATGGTGGAGGGAAGGCTGGGTGTGATGTAATGAGGGAAAGGCCTGCTGTGGCCCCAGAAGGAGGTAGTGCCACAGAGTGGCAGAGTATGGGCTTTAGAGTCCAGAGACCAAGGTTTGAATGTCACTTCGCCTCTTCGAGCCTCATTTTCCTCACCTGTGAAATGTACACACCTGGAAGGGTTAATGGGAGGATTAACAGAAACAAGGCAGGTGAAGACGTTAGCACTGTGCCTAGCTCCTTGTAGGCATTTATAAAATTAAAATCATCATCATCATCAAATTAGCACCAGCTCTACAATCTAACTCTCTGGATCTAGGGAAATAATATTCCCTTCTTTGGATCTTAGCTTCCTTGTCTGCAAAATGTAGGTTTGGTCTAAATCAGAGATTTTCAGCTGGACACGGTGGTTCATGCCTATAATCCCAGCGCTTCGGGGGGCTGAGACAGGAGGATCACTAGAGATCAGCAGTTCAAGACCAGCCTGGGCAACATAGCAAGATCCCCATCTTTACCAAAAATTTAAAAATTAGCTGTGTGTGTGGTACATGCCTGGTGTCTTAGCTACTTAGAAGGCTGAGGCAGGAGGATGGCTTGAGCCCAGGAGTTCAAGGCTGCAGTGAGCTGTGATCACACCACTGTACTCCAGCTTGAGCAACAGTGAGGCCCTGTCTCAAAATAAATTAATAAATAAATAAATAAATCAGAGGTTTTCGACTGGGATGGATCACCCATGAGCTTTATAAAATGGCTTATTTCTGGACCTCACAAGAGACTTACTGAGCTGAAAATCTCTGAGTATGAAACCATTTTGGTAATCTGCATTTTGGGAAAACACCCCACGTGGTTCTGATATAAAATCTTTATTGTGACCCTTCGGCCAACAAATGACTGATCACAATAATTCCTTCCAATTCTCTTGTCTCCACTCCTCACTAGCAAATCCTAAAAATACACTGTTTCATCTACAGAGGACTGTGTGTGGCATTTGGTGTTTTTATATCAAGAGCCAGGGTGTATTTTTTCCATGAAAGCATTTGAATGAATAAAAAGTATGAAATGTGCAACAGAGTTGTACTTGGCCTAAGCAGGTGCTCACTAAACATTCATTTAATTTACTGTCTAAGTCATATATTCATTCATTTAACCATCAGTGGCATATTGGCCATAGTATGGCCCCGGCATTCTGTATATAAAGATGGCAACACAGCCAGGGTACCTGCCCTCAAGGAATTTAAAATTTAGTCAGAATAAGGGGCTACAAGCAGTAAACAGATAAATAAGATAATTTCAGATTAGGGTCATTGCTGTGAAGAAAATAAAAGGAACTGACTTGGAGGGGGGTGTTGCAACTTTAAATGGGGTGGTAGGAATCAAAGAGGAGATATCTGAGCTGAAACCTGAAGGATAGAAGGAAACCAGCCATGGGGAAATCAGGAGAAGATCCATCCCTGGGGTGGAAACCAGCAAGTGCAAAGGCCCTGAGGCAGGAACAGGGATTTGTGTGTTTATGGGAAAGAAGGAGAGCCGGTGTAGTTACTGGGAGGAGAGATGGCAGAGCTGGCGTGTACAGGATCTCTAGGCTGTATTAAGGAGTTTGGATTTTATTCCAGCTGTGACAGAAGCTATAAGATGAATGAAAGGAAATGATTTTCCACAGTGAGATACCTGGTTAGCTGCCACGTGTATGTAGAATAGTCCAACTCGACCATGTCAGAATGGACTGAACATGAAGCCATGTCTGACTTTTAAAATTTTAGACAAAGCCAATTCATGGGTCTCTATTTTGCTGTCGTTCTTATAAGAAGGATGATTGTGTTTTGGGGTCAGGTCGGTGGAAGGGTTCAAAATCAACCTGATTCGGAGTGAGGAGCACTTCCAGAGTTACTGCAACAAGATCTTTGCTGGCTGGGACTTCTGCATCACCAACCGCAGCACGGCCGATCTGAAGCACAGCAGCTTGCGGTATGAGCTCCGGGTAAGTGCTGCTGGGTTTTCCCTGGGCGGGGTCCGCATGCACAAGATCCCGCCTTGGAAGGCTGAGTTTGCAGCTTGCAGAGTAGCTAGGGTGTGGACCAGGCTGTCCCTGGTCCTTAGCAAGTTTCCCCTGTGTAGTTTTCAAGAGCTTTTCGCAGCCAGCAGCTTACTGGGGTTGATAACCTTGAACCCAAGCAGTGGTGCTGGTGAACTGGGGCTGGGAAGAGAGGTGCAGACACACAGTGGCTGGGAGGAGATTGTGTCTCCCCCCAACCAACCACCTAAGGGACTAAGGAGGGAATGTTATGATCATAGGGTGGAGTGAAGAGTATATGAAAAAGTACAAGGAAATTTCCAAATTAATAGAGAAGGAGTAATGAATAGCATCTGCATCAAACCCATCGAAGAAAAGGAGGAGACTGAGGCAGGAGGATCACTTGAGGCCAGGAGTTTGAGACCAGCCTGAGCAAGAGTGAGACCCTGTCTCTACAAAAAATAGAAAAATTAGCCAAGCATGGTGGCACATGCTTGTAGTCCTAGCTATTCAGGAGGCTGAGGCAGAAGGATCGTTTGAGCCCAGGAGTTTGAGATTTCAATGTGAGCTATGATGACACGACTGCACTCTAGCCCAAGCAACAGAGCAAGACCCTATATCAAAAAAAAAGAAAAAAAGGAAAAGAAAATGAGGAGACATGTAAATCAAAAGCTTAGTAAAGTAAGGTCGAAGGAATAAAATCAAATGTATGATATTATTTCTTACACAAAATATGAACAGATCGAATTTTCCCCTTAAAATCAGAGACTACCATATTGAGTTAAAAGGAAAAATAACACCCACCTACTTGCTGTTTAAAAAAAAGACACATACTATATATAGGTAATAGCATGAATATATTACAGTTCTGTTTTCACGTTTATTGCAAAGCCCGACTGCAGACTCAAGTAGGAGGCTCTGCCTTGTCTTAGGCCGTTAGTAGACATAAAAACGGGTTGGGCTTAGTCTGGGAAGGTATCTCGGGGGAGATGAATATTTAAGGAAAGTTTTAAAGATGGGACGGGGTGGGTATAATGAACCAGAGGGTCCACTCCTGAATATTCCCTCATGCCCAGCACTCACAGATGAGTCTTCTTGGGTCCTCAGGCAGATCTGGAGGAAGAAAGAATACGGCAGAAAATAGCAGAAAGGACCTCAGAAGAAACGATTCGCATTTACTCTTTGAGGCTGTTTTTGAACTGTATCGTTCTGGCTGTTTTGGTGGCGTGTTTTTATGCCATCTATATAGCAACTATCTTCTCGCAAGAACATATGAAAAAAGTGAGTACTCCGCGAGAGTCCACTGAACTTGTACCTGGTTGGGCATTAGGCTAAGCGCATTGCAAACCTGTGCAGTCAGTACCGATATCATTTCTGTTTTATGTATGGGGATATAAGTTTGGCTGATATGACCAAGAACCAAAAATCAGAGGTGATCAATTTCCACTTTTAAGAGAAATTTTAAAAAGCATCTAAAATAGAGTGCTGGAGATACCTACTGCTCCTGGAATTCACAACATTCAAATCTAGGCTGGATTGCCTGGGTTTTATCCCTGACGCCTCTACTTACTAGCCGGGGCCTCAGTTAACTTAAAATAGCAGTGGTTTTGAAAATCCAAGTTGGTCTAGTGGCTCTGCTTCCTGAAATCAGCCATCAGGGGCCCAGGTTCCATCCATCTGGTGGCTCTGCTGTCTGTAGGATGTGGCCCTCTTCTGTGTGGTACAGGATAGCTCCCCATCAGTCTCCATTCTGGCCAATGGGAAGGAGGTGAAGGGGCTGGGGAGGGCACATCTCTTCCCTTGAAGGGCATGACCTGGAGGTTGCACTTAAACTCATATCCGCTTTGGCCAAAATTTAGTCACACAGCTGTACCTACCTACAAGGGAGGCCAGGACATTTCCTTTATTTTCTGTTTTAAGAGACAGGGCCTCACTCACTCTGTCACCCAGGCTGGAGTGCAGTGGCGTGATTATAGCTCACTGCAGCCTCCAACTCCTGCTCAAGCCATCCTCCTGCCTCGGCCTCCCGCATAGCTGGGATTACACGTGCACACCACCACACCCAGCACTGCCATGCCCGGCTGATTATTTAAATTTTTTGTAAAGAGGAGGCCTCACTATGTCACCGAGGCTGGTCTCCAGTTCTCAAGCAATCCTCCTGCCGTGGCCTCCCAAAGTGCTTGGCAGACTATTTACTTTTTATTCTGGATAGCTATATATCTGGCTAAATAATCTGTTACTATGAAATAAGGAGAGAATGGCTATTCCAAATCCATCAGTACTACATCCTTGAAAAGACTTTAAACTGCCCATTTATGCAGACTATGTGGATGTTTTTTGTACGTCACCTTAATAAATCCAATAGAGCTCATTTTTCTTCCAGCATGGTATCATACCTCTGTTTGAACACCTAAGGAAGGAGATGGCTTATGTTTGTAGGCCATGTTGAGTGACAAGTATGTTTTGTTCCTTTGCCAAACATACATAGTTGAGTTCTTTTCAGTTTAATTCATTTGTGTTGCAATTTATTGTACTCCTGACCAGTAAGTTTTTTTTATCTTCCTAGGAGATTGACAAAATGGTTTTTGGAGAGAACCTCTTGATACTGTACCTACCGTCTATTGTGATCACACTGGCCAATTTTATCACCCCAATGATTTTTGCCAAGATCATCCACTATGAGGATTATTCTCCAGGCTTTGAGATCCGGCTGACAATCCTTAGGTAATGCCTAACTCGAGGGTGGCCGGCATGCCGAGCAGACCACCACGTGTCCACTCCCTTGCCCATGGCAGACATTACTAATCAACTGTGGCACATGTTGTTGCTGAGCCAAGAATCCTCCTCAACCTTTACACAGCCCCCGTGAATGAATCAGAGTTTGTACATGCAGTGAAATCTCTGACTCGAGAGTTTGCTCATCGGTATTATATTTTTTGGTCCACATTGACAGCTGAGGACACAGGCTGGGGCCCCAGGAGGAGGTATTGCTCTGAACCTGTCGTGAATGACAGGTATAAGGCAGAGTCTGGGGCACTAACACAGATGAATGAAGGGTACCAGTGGGGACTGCGTGGAACTGGAGAGTTTTCTTTCTGCTTCTCAAATGCCTGAGTTTACATTTGCATCTTATATT